GCAGCATGCAGAGCTGGGTGTATATATTGTCTGGAAAGACCTTGATTCACCAAAAAAAATGTTCCACTGAACCTTCCAGTCATAGTAACTAGTAATAAAAGTGCAAAAGAAAGGAAAAAACTCCAAGGTTTTTCCATGGATGGATTTTTGTAAAAATGTAATTAATTTCTTCATCTAAACTAAAAACTTAACATTTTTGGGGGGGTCAAAATTTGAAAGCCTTTCTAAGGCAATTAGAAAATAGTGATATGCTAAGCAACATGTATGAAAAGGCATGAAGAAAGTGGAAGGTCCTAGAACAGTGGCCCAAACCAAGCTGAGCATGAAGCATCTGACTCCTGATTTCAACTTCCTGATGACTCTGTCATCTCAGCTGCAGTGCTCGGGTTCTCAGCCCTGCAGTCTAACGTTTCAGTTCAGCCTGTGCCAAGGGCTTTGCTAAATTCCAGCCTTCAGGAGTTAGCACCGCTGGGGGAACTCGTTGAATGTCACGTCCTCAGCACTTTGCGATGATGTACTTTGGTACAGACCTGGCAGCTGTTGATTGAAAGAATTAAGCCTGCATCTGAACTGAACCTGATTTAGGATGTGTCTAGATTGTGGAAATGTCAACAAGATTTCCGTTATTACAGACTTCAAGTTTCCTCACCTTAACCACCATTGAACTGGCTTTGAAGAATATAAAGCAGTCTCATTAGTTAATGTGAAGGGACCTTATTTCGACACTAAATGTTATTGAGTAATATTTGTGATAGGAACCAATCTCCTGTATAGAATAAAAATAATTTTCTTGGATTTAAGATTAAAGCTCACAGCACTCTACAGCAGGAGGACGAGAAACAGGGTGGTTTTTTTTAAACAATGGTCTTTCAACAGAAATTGTCATGAAGAGAAAATATGGCCATTATTGAGTGCCAAGTGTTTAGTTTATGCCCCAACTTGGCCTAATTATTGTCAAATAAATTTCATATATCGATTCACAATTACAGGCATAAATTGCAGGGGTGCCTGAAGTCAAGGCAAGGGGAGAATAAATACCTTTGTGCCTAAAGGCATTCATGGGGAGACATACCTCTTAGCAAGTATTTTATGTATCAACTAACTTTCTACCATACTTATGGGACAGTGAGATGGGCAAAACCCGAACTCCTTACTCAGGAAAAAACTTTTTAAAAAGAACACCAACCAGTTCAGTAAATGAAAGTTCTATAGGAGAACTGTGGAATAATAAGAACATGTACAGTGCTGCTTGACAACATACTAAATCATCCAAAAGTCACACATCAAGTTATATAACTACAAGTTAATATTTTTATGATGGTATAGTCATAGTAGGAACAGAAAGGCACTAACAAAAGGCAAAAAGACATAAAGCTAAAACATGAGGAAAGAAATGAAGATTTCACCAGATTTCATTCAGTCCTATTCAGTAGTAGCTTAATAAAAAAACCAAAATAAAATCAAGTGCTACGTCCAAAAAACGCTTGTTGTTGAATGCATAATTAAACCAGGTTAATCAAATTTCAATTCCAATTTTGCCTGAGTAAGGAGAGCAGGCTTGGGTCCATACTCCCTTGGTGAAAGTCCTATAAAAATAAACAATATCCATCACAGCTACTGCTGAAAACTGCAAGAAATAGATTCAGAACTTCTCAGTAAGATATTAAGAATACAGCATTTATTAGGAAAAGCAGAAAGAGAGAAAGTAATTCAAAATAAAGTTGTTTCTTCTGTGTAAGAACTGGGTAAAACCCTTTGAAACTCCAGAAAGAAAACAGCACTTTCTCTCTCTCACGGAATGTATACATGTGCTTTTATTAATATATCATGGAAATGTAGAATACCAGGGTGGAAGGGACCTCAAGGATCATCTGGTCCAAACTTTCTTGGCAAAAGCACAGTCTATAGGAGCACACATGGCATAGTTTGCACCCATTTTTAACAGCAAAGGGAAATGATTCTAAGAGGAGTGAAATATTTTCATACAAAGAAGTTATTCTGATGCTGAATTGTGCTTAAGCTTAATTGTGCTTGTGACCTATTTGTAGTGAAGGAGCACTTTTATACTAATGCATTGCTTGTCCAGAGCCATTCTCCTAGGTCTGATAGCACCACAGTATGGACACAAATGCTCCCAACAGGTGGGCATGACTGTAAACTCATTAGTGGCCTTTTATCAATGTATTATAACAATATTTTAAGAAACATAATCACAGAATTGTCAGAGTTGAAAGGGACCTCTAGAGATCATAACTCCTCTGCTAAAGCAGGATTGCCTGCAGCACATTGCACAGGATTGCATCCAGGCAGGTTTTGAACATCTCCAGAAAAGGAGACTTCACAAAATCTGCATCTTGGGACTTAATCTTTCGCCTGGTACTTCTGTAGCAAAAAGTGAAAGCACACTTCCCATTTGGGACACTAGAAGTATCCCCACTGTACCTTTCTGGTGACCCTCATCCAGAGGCTGCTGCCACTAATCCTCTGTCACTGAAATTCTATGTTTCCCCAAAGAACAGACTATTTACCTGTGTAACTACATGTCTGCTCAGACCTGGCCAGCAATCTTTGCTTTTCAAGGAGAGTTGTACTTCCCAGGGAAAGGTTGGGATGAGGGATATTTGTGTCCTTTTTAATGGCAGCAGCAACAGGCACTGGCTGGGACATCCCACCCCAGCTGATCATCAGGAGCATCTCAGAAATCCGATTCAAAACCATAATAAAGAGGAATAGTGTTAAGTTGCTTTGTGGGATCACAGAGGGCAAAGGAAGGCAATATTGTGGAGTACACTGGGAAGGAAGAAAAGTTATTAAGACTCACTCTCAGCTGGGACATCTGGTGACTAAGCTCTGAGCTGGGAAGGAAGTGAGCTGGGAAACAGGGTATGGAAAGGCTGGGAAATTGTGGGGTTTTTTACTCCTGAGCATTTAGCATGACATCTTGGTCTACAGTGGCTCAATTAAAGTGATACTGTTTCACTGTGTAATGTACTTCGTGTTATATTTCATGACATGAATGCTATTAGCTTTTATATAAGGAGGTTTTCAAAATTAACAGAAGGCTGTTGTAAGATTACTATTTTGTTCTTACTTTTATTTACTAAAAACAGCTGCATTGGCCAATGTTACATCTACTTTTTTTTTTTTTGTTGTTTTCATATGTCCCTGGGTTAAAAAAAAATAATTAAAAAACCCCAACTTGCTTGAAAGAACTGCAGAACAATTCACTGTGGATGGCATATAGCAACTGCAGGCTTAAAATTCACAAGGTGGTCCTTTCAAGTCTTGCAGCTTCTCACAGTATGTCAACAGAAGTAAATACAACTGCTGATTTCTAATTGTGAACGTTTCACAGGAGGAAAAAAAAAATAAAGATCTGTCGATAAAGATCCTCACCATCATCTGAACACTCGAACTGGACTTCCTTTTCTGAATTGACCAGTCAGAGAGAAAGGAAAAGAAGAAAATGTGACTGGTTGGATTTGCAGTACCAATGCATGGAGTACAGTATATTTCTGGTTTGGCTTTTCTTTTTCTTTTTAAATAAGAAAAAGCTTAATCTGTAGGAAGGGGTGGAAAAATGCTATGCATTATATAGTATCTCAGTAACAGAAATGACAAAAAATAGACTTCCCCAGATGTAAATTTACTCCCTTTGCTCCACATGACCCTGCAGACAAACAGCAGACACATAAAATGTGCTGAAAACCCAAGTATCAAATCCCAACAAATGTAACTTAGGCAAAATTTTGGCAACAATTTCTTCCAGCATTATAATCAAAATTGAGATATAACAAATACCATCATAGACCTGTAGGAGGAATGATATTTATTTCAAAAGGAAAAGCTGGTCAGACAGTGTACATAACATTTATGTATTTGATAACAAAAGTTGTTAAGGGTTTTCCCCAGAAATGACAGAACAGTAGTGCATGTGTGCTTCTCCACATAACTAGGACGTTTACCACTTGGCAGTGAGAAGCAGTGAAACCATATCATTCTCACTTCCTTTAAAGTCAGTTTCCTGATTTTTTTGATAGGAAAAGTGTGGGAGAACAGGAACAAATATCCTATGAATCTCACATTCAAGAATAAAATGTTTTGTTAGAGTAAAAAAAATTATACAGAAAATTAAAATTCAGGTCAAAGACACACTTCTGAGTTAACAAAGAGAACAGAGGAGTATTTTTTTAATAATATAAGGAAAGCTTGAGGTGCTTATTTCAGTCTTCAGAAGACCTCCAAGAAAAGAAATTAAATACTTTTCATTGCTGAGTTATTTTTTTTGTTTTTGTTTTTGTTTTGGTGTTGTTTTGTTTTTGTGGGGTTTTTTTCTGGCTGTTTTTCAAAGTATTTATCCAAAACTTTAATTTATGAAGCATCTCTCCTCCTGCAGGATCTGTTGACACCAGAATATGAGCTCTAAATCACGTATGAAAGCTGCCAAAATGTTCCATTCTCAGTAAGGTCTATTAGTCAGGAAGAGCTGATTTGTTGTGATAGTAAACCCCTCCAGTTCTGCCAAACATAGCAAGTACATCTGGCAGAATACACCTCATGTGGAGCCAAGCCTACCAGTAAACTCTGGGACTTCCATGAATTCTAACAAAAAGTCAAGGGGAAACATGGAGGCAACAGAACTGCAGATAAACACTGATACCTAAAAAGCTAAAATGCCCACCACCAAACCATTATTTATTTATATTTATGGACCAATTAGTAACAGAATTAATTACACAATCATACTTCATTAAAGTAGCAAAAAACCATTTTCTTCAGTAGTTTTCTATCTTCTACTTATTAAAATGACTCCTTTTCAAATATTTATTTTAGTTCATTTTTTAAGCTTCACCTGCTAACTTTAATCACTTCAAATATACAGTAAGAAGCACTTATTAGCAAAGTCTAGAAAGGAAAGAAATTACAAGAACCAGTTCTAAAAACTGCTACAGATAGGGGGTGACTAATCAAACGTATTTCAAAGCAGATGTTTAACCTACCTTAACTCCATCCGGCTTTTTCAGTAAACTCTTGGCTGCTGTAAAATGAGACAAATCATTTTAGTGTCAGGTGGTTGCCACTGAGGTCAACCAGCTGTGCCAGCAAACCCCCATTGCCTCCCAACTGCAGATACATTTTCAGCTTCTATTTCCTCCTTCTGTTGCTCTCAGTATAGGAAATGAAGTATTTAAGAACTACAAAGACTTAAGAACATCAGGTATTTCTTTAGCTGCTGATGAAAGCTGTACTTACAGAAGGACAGCCCTCCTTGGGTGGCACAGAGGAAATGGAAGCAGGGCGAGTGTGAAAGCAGCAGCTTTGGCTATATTAATTTTTTTAGCTGCAAGATGCTTACAGTTGTTGATTGGGGTAGTTTGATGTGACTTTGAAAAGTGTTCTGATGGCAGGGACTTTGACCGGGTGTTTCTAGAGCCCACTGGCATCTTAATGACACTGTTAGTGTGACAGTGACATACAAGTAACCACTACCAGATCAATGAGGTACCTAAAGAGCACACTGGGGCACAGTGCAATCTATTCCACCTAATGGAAAAGCAAACTGGGTTCTTGAAAAGCACCTCTGGGCAATGGCTCTTTGGGGGTTTCTAACTATGACAGCATCAGTCACTCTGCCTGAAAGGTGAGGAAATTTAGAAATAAGGAAGAGCAATCTGGTAGAGAAGTGTTGCTTTGGAAGGGTGTTTCCTGGGAGGTAATAATAACACGTGGCAGGCTTTTCTTCAACTTCTCATTAAGGAAACCTGCTATTTTCTGAATCAAGTTCCATACTAATCTAAGCTCTTCAAAGTGGTGGGGACCACTTTGCTGTAAATAATATCCAAGGCTTGAAATTCTACCACTTAAACCTAGCAACAAGAATGAGGCCAAATCATTCCAAATGACTATATCTGGAGGGCTAATGTGCAACTCCGTACACCACAGCTCTGCATCTGACAAGACTTACAGCAGAAACACAGGCTGGGTGATCTATCACATTCCAATAAACTATTCACTAAAGCTTAAATGCTTTGTGAGTCACTGCCAAAGACTTGAAGAAGTATAAATTATAAGCCAAGCCTGGAGCTTTTTGGTTTTGGTGTTGTTTATGACCCAGTCTTCCTATCAGAGGGTTTATCATGACTTGGATTACCAGAAAGTGCTGTTCTATAGAGGTTGTTTTGCTTAGAAGTAGGAAGGCTTTTTGAAAGGGAAATGCTGCAGCTAACAACCTGGCATCATCAAAGAGAGACTGTCCTGCCACGGAGCTACCATCCTTACCAACACCTTTCCCTTTTAACCAAAAAAAAACAACCCACAATGGGAGTTTGCAAGTCTAAGGTTGCTCAGACTAGCTGAGGATACTGGAGTTACTGAGTAGGGGGGTTAAACCTGAAATTAATTTTTGTATTTGTGGCTTATTCTCCAGCTGTATCTACGTTAAGTGCTCATTTAGCTCCATCTGGTTCAGAGTACAGAAATGTAAGATCACCTTGTAAACTGTATAGAAATAACTGATGTCCATTATTCTGTTGTTTGCATTAAAAAACTGGAAAGTGATGCCGGGTTAATGTTTATTATTTCATTAATATATCAAGCCTTCAAATGGAGTTTATTAATTATGGACATCAGCCAGCACTACCATTAAAACTCTCACAAGGCCCATGATTACAGCTAAAATGAACAAAAAAAGATAATTGCCTGTGTTATGCAACAGGACCATCACATGTTTCTATTTACAGAACCATGTAACTTAATATTAAAAATAAATTGGTTTACATAGATTTTTGAGACAGGACACATCCTTTTGCAATGTGTGCTTACAGGACCTGATGCAACACAGCCATCAGATTTTACACAACCACAAATATTGGGGGCACTCTACTAACTTCAGAAATTTATGTAGGGAA